TTCTTTTGTGTTCTTCCTTGTTTTCTCTTATGTCGACCAACAGAAATATGTGTACGTTTATTAAAACCCAACATTCTCACATTTTCTTTTTTACACATAGAACAACTTTTTTGATTCTTCAATGTTGTTAATAATACGTTCACTTCATCTTGTGCAAATATATTATTAACAATTAACGCAAAGATAAAAAAAAATAAGACAATTTTTTTAACTTCTATTTTTTTTTAGGAAATTTTTAAATAAACATATGATTTATATAAAAATAAATTAAATTAATTTCTAGAAATAAACGTTGCAATCACTTTTTTTGAATGATTTTTTTTTGCTCTTTTTTTGGGGGTTTTCACAGATGCTTCTTTTGGTTTATGCACACTCTCATATGTATTTCCATAACGTACATAAATCCCACCTTTATACATTTTTGTAATTTGACCATTTTTATTTAAGATCATCTTATATTGTCCGGTTTTAAAATCCCATGTATATAATCTTGGAAGATCTATTGCAACAATAAGATCATCATCTTGCGCCAAAACCTTTAAAAATAAAAATAAAATGAATACAAATATATATCTCATGATTACCAATCTTAATACCACGAGCGATTTGAATTCTATTTATAGTTTTGTTTATTGGAATTACTTCTTCTCTTTCGTCCACGTTTTTGATTATTTTTAATTGTTTTACAAACAATTTTATTTTTCAAACATTGTTCACAAGGTCTTTTCTCATTACATTTTATTTTTTTTTGTCGGCAAAACAAACAAGCTGAAAAAACATTTAACCTTCTCATTGTTTATATTTTTATTTAAACTGTCTTTTGTCTTTTTTATTTTTTTTAAATCGTTAAAATTTAATATTTTTATTGCTAAATCAAGTAAATCAAAAAATCTTAAAAATATTTTTTTATTGGTTCATCATTTAGTGAATGATATTGCTTAATCGAGTAAATTAAAAAAAGTTTTTTAATAAAATTCTAAATTCGAATTCAAATCAAAATTTTTATCTAGAACCAATCAAATAAATTAATTAAAAAATGAGTGCGTGAGAATAAAAACCTGTAACTGATCATAGTAAATCATTATAATCAGTTCTAGGTTTTTATTCTCACGCACTCAAATATAAAAACACTGATTTTACTTTGTTCTATATAAATAAATCTACCTATTTTGAATTAAAAATTCTTCCAGAATTAGAAGAAATTAAAATTTTAAAAATAAATATTGTTTATAAACCTGAAATAAATTTATCAAATTTTATCAATTGGTTAGATAAAAAATTTAAAATACAAATTAGAAATTATCATTTTAACTAAATTTTATCTTTTGATCGAAACAAAAAAATTCACACAGATTTTAATAAAGCCAGAAAAGGAACTTACAGAAAATTTTTAAACCAATAATATATTCACTCCTTTGTTTTATAGTTTAACTAAATAAAGAAATTCATTATCAACTATAAATTGATTTATTGATTTGATAAAATCATACTGATTATCAATAAAGCCACAGAAAGTTCTAATTTCTTATCTTTTGATCGAAACAAAAAAATTCACATAGATTTTAATAAAGCCAGAAAAGGAACTTACAGAAAGTTCTAAATTTTATCTTTTGATCGAAACAAAAAAATGAGAAAGTTCTTTTAACAAATCAAACCATAAAAGGAATTTTCATACAAAATTATTTCTTAGCAAAAACTGCGTATTTATTTTAAAACAAATTTAACCATAAAAGGCAATAGTACACAAATATTTCGAGAAAGTTCTTTCTACTAACAAAATTATAATGTTCAAAAAGAAATAAAAGAGCAATCCAATTTTCTTCGTAGCGATTGTATTTAATCACTTACAAATCTTCACAAATAAAATTACAAATCAAATCTTTTTAAAAATGTTTCCAAAAATCCTTGTAGTTTTCATTTTTTTCTGTGTTATCTTTGGTTTGTTTCTCACAAACCTTTTCGAAAGTGAATATCAACTTGAAATTCACCAAGTTTTTAATAAAATACTTTTATCAAAAATACTCTTTTGGTTTTTGGTAGTTACTATTTATTTAGTAAC